TTTTAGACTAGAATTCCTGTGAAGACCTCTCCCAGTGGAGGTCCTTAGAGTTTAGGCTGTTGAGGGCGGGAAGCGGGTGACGAGGGTGTGAGAAATCCTGTCCTTGCCGCCGTCTGCACAGTGACAATGGAAGTAAATGAGCAGTGGCTATCGCTGTTTAATGTCATAATTTTTCTGGTTAACCAACATTCTTGTTCCGCTGTTTTGCAATAAACTGTGTGTGGAAATGGATTCTCTTTCCCCTGCAGAGTTTACAGAAGCCCTTATCTATGATGCGTAGGTTCTTTGAGGGCTGTCATGGGAATTCCCAAAAGTCTGGGTGACAGGTTTTGCATGAAAGTTACTCAGTGAGAATGAATCTCTAAGATTACTTGGTTCTATTAATGATTTTTTAGCTGATTTTCCTCTTTTTCCTTCTCAGTGTTACATATCGTCTTGTAGGATAACCTCCTCTCATCAGACTCAGCTTCTGTGTTTTCTGAAAGGTTCTTTTACCTTGTCTGCCCAATTCCAAATAACTGGATGACTGAAGTTTAACTTTTTAGGTGTCTTTTTTCTTAATCTATCAAGATTAGAGCCTCTTTTCTTCTGAGTTAATCATGCATTCATTTATACGCAAATAATCTGGGATTTATGAATGAATATTATTCCAAACCTCCTTTAAATTTGTTTGGGATTTCAAATCCCTCTCTTCAGCACTGTAAGTGGTGATTATTCATTTGCAACTCAGGCCATTGTGTTCTGTAGAAGGATGAAGAACCAGCCGTTTCAAAGGGATAGTTCCCACAGCCCAGAGGCTCCTGGGAGGAGCGGGGGGTGGGGGGGGGGGGGGGGGGGCAAGCTGCACCACGCCCACGCCTGTGCCTGTCCATTCCTGGAGCTGCTTTCCCTCTTTTTTTTTTTTTGTTTTAACATCCTTATTGGAGTATAATTGCTTTACAATGGTGTGTTAGTTTCTGCTTTGTAACAAAGTGAATCAGCTATACCTATACATATATCCCCATACCCCCTCCCTCTTGCGTCTCCCTCCCACTCTCCCTATCCCACCCTCTAGGCGGTCACAAAGCACCGAGCTGATTTCCCTGTGCTATGTGGCTGCTTCCCACTAGCTATCTGCCTTACGTTTGGTAGTGTATATGTGTCCATGCCTCTCTCTCGCTTCGTCCCAGCTTACCCTTCCCCCTCCCCGTGCCCTCAGGTCCATTCTCTACGTCTGCATCTTTATTCTCGTCTTACCCCTAGGTTCTTCATGACCTTTTTTTTCTTTTTTCTTAGATTCCATATATATGTGTTAGCATATGGTATTTGGTTTTCTCTTTCTGATTTACTTCACTCTGTATGACAGACTCTAGGTCCATCCACCTCACTACAAATATCTCAATTCCGTTTCTTTTTATGGCTGAGTAATATTCCATTGTATATATGTGCCACATCTTCTTTATCCATTCATCCGATGATGGACACTTAGGTTGCTTCCATCTCCTGGCTATTGTAAATAGAGCTGCAATGAACATTTTGGTACATGACTCTTATGCAAATCAAAACTACAATGAGATATCATTTCACACCGGTCAGAATGGCCATCATCAAAAAATCTAGAAACAATAAATGCTTTCCCTCTTGATTTCAGCCTCCAATCCTTTGCCGTCCCCTGAGGGAGGCGAATCCCAGGTCCTCTCACCTCAGGAGGGGCCAGGGTTTGTGTTTAGAAACAACCTGAAACACACAAGGAATGAAAAGGCCGCGAAGCCAAGGGCCTAGGTTCCAAGAAGGCCCCCGAGGGGCTCTGCCTGCCCATTGGGACCGAGACTCTCCATGCCCACCCCGTCCAGCTTACGGAGTGCGGCCCCTTAGGATGGCTGTTCACATCCAGGTGGCTGTGACCGGTCACCCCAAAGCCATGGACTGGCCTCCTGGGGCTGCTGCCCTCCCTGCTGGTCGTGGTGAGGAGGGACCCCAGTGGCAGGAGAGTGGCCCCTCCCGGCTTCCAATGACTGTCTCTTTGGACATGGTTGGGAAATCTGTATCTCCGAAGGGGATGTGGCTTTTGAAGTGCGTTGGGGTGCATTTGGCGTCTGTCCTGGTGAATACGCTGAGTGTTCGGTCAGCTCGTGGGGCTTCCAGCCGTGAGCCTGATCCCCTGGAGGCAGCTTCACCCCGGCCTAGACGTGCTCGGATCCTGATCTGTGAAATCAGGTCGCTGGCTGTCCACACCTGACTTCCTTTTTTTAAAATAAGATATTTATTTATGTATTTATTTTGCAGCTCTGGGTCTTAGTTGCTGCACACAGGCTTTTCGATCTTCGTTGCGGCATGCAGGTTCTTTTCGTTGCGGCATGCGGCATCTTTAGTGTGGCGTGGGAACGCAGTTGCAGCATGTGGGATCTAGTTCCCCGAGCAGGAATTGAACCTGGGCCCCCTGCATTGGGAGTGCAGAGTCTTAGCCACTGGACCACCAGGGAAGTCCCCTCACCTGACTTCTTGAGGGAAGTCATCTTACCTCTCTGCCCACTGCATGTCCCTGTCTGCCGTCCCCAGCCTGGAAGACCCCCGGGGCAGATACCCCGGCTCTCAGACTTCAAACACAGGAGAGAAGGGAACAAAAGGCCAAGACTGTGTTTGTGCTTAAATTAGGGCCTAGCAGCACATCAGGCCAGCCTTTCTGGTCATTAATACCAGCCTCTGTCGTCACAGGCACCCTGGGCCCTAAAAGAGGCCATGCTCAGGTGACGTCCACGCCATGTGTCGACCGAGGGGACATTGGAACAGTGGCCCCGTGGGCTGCCGGGCAGCTTGGTATAATTAGCAGTGTGTGAAGCACCTGCCCGGTGAGTGCACATCCCAGGTCCTGGGGTCCCTGAGGACCCCAGTCAGTCACACTGCTGACCATGCCAAGATGTTCTGGTCACTTACGAGCCAGCTCCAACACCCTGCCCAGAGGTGCATGTGTGTGCACGTGTGTGCATGTGTATGTGTATGTGTGTGCGTACGCCTGTGCCTTGCTGGGGCTCCCAGAGCCCTTTGTCTCCCGCTCGTGGGCACAGCTAGACTCTTCGTGTGCTCCAACGTGGTGACCACTGAACGACTGGTTTTCTGAATAAGAGCTCCTCTTAGATAATCTGGCCCTTGAGCAGGTTCTGTGTAGACGGCTTTGGGGGAAGTGACCAACCTTCCTGCCTGGGTTTAACGGCTTTTCTCATGTTTGAACCCTGCTTGGTTCCAGGGACTTTCATGGTTCCCTTTGTATGGATTTGTACACGTGGACGTGTGTGTGTGTGTGTGTCTTATCTGAGGTCGGCTGCTGGGCAAGGCCCCGAGTTGTACCTTCATTATGGGGCACCTGATGAGCCTCCCCCAACCCGGGTTTCTTTCTGACACCAGCGACACACAGACTTCCTGAGGGAAGTAGCAGCGTGATTGCTTTGGCCTGTTTTCTGTCTTGTTCCAACACTCGGTTCTTGTAGGAAGCATGGATTTAAATGGCGTTTAGACAGTGTGTTGGCGTCTGCTCTCAGGCCTGGGGGCTCCTCCTGGTCTGGTTGTGCTCCTGTCCCCTCTGCACAGGGGATGTGATGACGCCCCCTGCGTGGAGCTGACGGGCAAGTTTAATGAAGTAATTCACCTTCCACGTGGGGCGTTTAGCACGGTTCCTGGCACGTGGTAAGAACTGAATAAATGTGAGCCTTATTCTGAGTCAGTTCTGAGGGACAGCTGAGTGCCTGGATAAGTGATGGTTGAGTAACATGGGTAAGTTATGGTTGAGTATGGTTACTTACTGTGAAAAAGTGAAAGTCAGGATCCCCTGGCATGTTCTGGCTTGGGGTCGTGAATGAGAAATCTGCTCATGAAGTCAAAAACAATCCAGAGTTTGGGTGTTGCCACAGCAACAGAAGAGCAAACATTGACCCAGAAATGGGGGAAAGTCTAAGATAACTTTGTCCTTTAAAGGCATCTCTGCTGGCCCCCTGGGAGGGGAGCTGTTGTCTGGGGACGTTCCTTGTCGGCTCCTCTGGACGGACCCTCACCATCTTTAGCAAGTGTCATCGAATAGTCTTTTCTTCAACACTGGCTTTAAGTAATTTTTATGCACCATCCCTCTCTTGCTCTCTGTCTCTATCTGTCTCTGTCTCTGTCTCTCTCTTTCTGGGACTCCAGCTGCACATCTGTAAACCATATGATATTGTCCATAGGTCATTTGGGCTTTCTTCCTTTTATTTTTATAGCTTTTTAAAATATGATTTTTAAAAAATTAATTAACTATTTATTTATTTTTGACTGCGTTGGGTCTTCGTTGCTGCACGCGGGCTTTCTCTAGTTGTGGCAAGCAGGGTGTAGTCTTCGTTGTGGTACGCAGGCTTCTGGTTGCGGTGGCTTCTCTTGTTGTGGAGCATGGGATCTAGGCGCGCGGGCTCAGTAGTTGTGGCGCACGGGCTTAGTTGCTCTGTGACATGTGGGATCTTCCCAGACCAGGGCTCGAACCCGTGTCCCCTGCATTGGCAGGCAGATTCTTAACCACTGCGCCACCAGGGAAGCCCTTTCTTCATTTTTAAATAAATCTTTTTTATTGACCTGTTTTCAAATTCACCAATATTTTATTTTGATATGTTTAATCTAATGTTGATCCCAATCAATGAATTTTTTATTTTAGACACCATATTTTTCATGTCTAGAATATCGTTTTAGAAAAGTTTCTAAATCTCTTCTGAAATTTCCTGCTCATTGTGTCTGTCTTTTTCCTGTAGAATCTTTAACACGTTTATCGCAGTTATTTTAAAGCCCCCTTTTACTAGTTAGAACCTCTGAGTCATTGGTAAGTTTCCTATTGACTGAATTTTTTTTTTTTTTTTTTTTGGCGTATGCGGGCCTCTCACTGTCGTGGCTTCTCCCGTTGCGGAGCACAGGTTCCGGACGCGCAGGCTCAGCGGCCATGGCTCATGGGCCCAGCCGCTCCGCGGCATGTGGGATCTTTCCGGACCGGGGCACGAACCCGCGTCCCCTGCATGGGCAGGCGGACTCTCAACCACTGCGCCACCAGGGAAGCCCTTGACTGACTTTTAACTATAAGTCACATGTTCCTGTTTCTGCAGGAACTTTTGGGTTGTTTACTTGGCATTGTGAGGGACACCTCCTGGAGGCTGGCTTCTCTGAACTTCTTGGAAGAGTGCTGGGCTGTGCTCTGGAGGGTCTTGAACTTGTGGAGGCTGGCTTCACAGCCCGCTAGGACAGATCTATTTTAGTTTCCCCTTGGTTCGAGCACCGCTTGGTCATCTTTGCTGTGAGGCGTGTTTCTCCCAGGGTTTCAGTGGGGAGTGAGCGCCCAGCCTCTGAGCTTGGTGAGACTCGGATCCACACCCCGTGGCCCCAGCGGAGGTGCCGTCCACTCAGCTCTCCAGGTCTCTAGGGCCCCTTCTCCCCCGCCCCGCGGGGTCCTCCCTGTTATGCAGGTCAGGGCTCAGCAAGGGTCTGAGAGAACTAAACTCAGACTTGGGGGCTCCTCACCCTTCTCTCCTCCAGAATCCCCTCGATTTCCATCGGCCTTGGAAGCCCTTTAGACAGGGTTCCCTTCATCCCGGCTCTTCCCCGCACGCCGGGGCCCCCTCTTTCGGCTGTTTGGAGCCCTGAGACCACAGCGGAAATGGCCCTGAGCTTGCCTCTTCCAGGCCGCCCAGCAGACGCGTGAGGCAGGGCGTTCTGGGCCCAGCCGTCCCCGCGGGGTTGCACGTGTCCGTGGCTGTAAGAAGAGCCTGGAGAGGGCAAGGGAGCCACCCCGCAGAGCCCACGACGCAGACCCATGGAATCTGAGCAAATAAAGCAACTGTTTACGCCAGCCGCTTTTGGGTGCTGTGCTTGGCAGCAGTAGGTAAGCGACATACACCTAGAGGGAACGTAGTTCAGTAGATCCTCAGACACGCATTTAAACGTCTTAACGTTTTCAGAGTCATGATGTGTTTTATCATTCATAGCAAGCGTGTCATAGTTTATCAGCAGTGATCAGTTGTTCTTTCTTACTTAGTACATAAACTGGTCATAGGTTTTCAAACAATGGCTTCTTAGAGTCAATGAGATACAGTGCATTTGGAAAAACTGGACTAAAGACAGAGAGCTTGTTGACTGCTGGACTTCAGGGCCTTAGTGTGGACAGCGAGTCTTCAGGAGGGAGTCCAGGACCCCCACAATGAAGCAATATGTCGCTGTGTGTACACAGGCATGTGTGATACTGTGTGTGAATAACCCACTGATACGAGATGAAGGAAAATCCCTTAAACCACCGGACCGTCCCTCCTCTTACCTTCCGATGTCTCAGAGGCAGTGTCTGGGGACTCAGTTCAGGAAGTTGGGATCTCCGTCATTTCTCGAGGCAGACCAATCAATTACACTGGTTTCTTCACTTCGATGGCCTGAGATGTCAGAGAACTTATTCTGAAAACGCAGTAGTGTGGGAAAAAAAGGCAGGGAATGAAATGGGATTTGAAAGAGGAAAGCAATGCGTTGTTTAGGGCCAAGACAACCGTGCGTAAATCTCAAAGAGAAAATGCTAATGTTGGTAATTTTGTTGTTAATATTTAAAGTACGCTCCTTCTACTAAGAATAATAGAAACTTCTGTATTAAGAACGGCACCGAACACTTGTATCAGCTCTGGCTCCTCCTGGCCCTGAGGTGAGCCTTCCCTGTCAGCTGGTGTAAATGTAAACTCTCTCCACAAGGCAAACGTCCACTCTCACTGTGGGAGAAACAGATTAGCTGATGGAAGAGAAATGCCAAATTAAAGGCATTTGTATCCCAGATTAGCAGCATATGTTAAAAAATGATGTCCCCAGTTAATTTTTCCGCGGCCTGGAAATGAGGTTTCTAATTTACACAGTAGTTTTTTTAAGCATTGGAGAGTTTTCTGATTATGGGAAGTAAAGTACGTTAGAATTTCAGAATATTAACATTGGAAGGGGAATCTCTTCTACAACAGCCCCATTTGACTGTCTTGGTGAGAAACCTACCATTTCATTATATAACCAGACTTCTTTACTAAGCTGATTGTTTTCTTTGTAATGGTAACTTATTTTTAAAGCGGTTTACTATCTGTTTTTCTGTTATAAAAATAATTCATGCTCATAAGTATAGAAGGTTTAGAACGGCAGAGAGAAGAGAAGAGGCCACAGGAGAGGCGGCCTGACAGTGCTGGGTTCGCAGCTGGGCATGGTGTGCGCTGTGTCCCGCACAGCCCCTCTGGGCTTCTCACAATGGCGCCCGTAGGACCATGTGCACTGATCTGTCTTCACACTTGACACCACAACTTAAACATTTCCCTCTTACTACACGCTTGCTCTGAACCTTCTCTTTAACAGCCCTACACACTTGTTCGTGCTGTGGGCTGAATGTCTGTGCCCCCAAATTCATATGTTGAAACCAAACCCTCAATGTGATGGGGTCAGGAGGTGGGCCTTGGGGAGGTGGTGAGGTCAGGAGGGTGGAGCCCCCATGATGGGCTTAGAGCTCCTAGAGGAAGAGACCCCAGAGAGACCCCTGTCCCTCACCCCCCACCCCCCGTGAGGTCGCATCTGTGAACCAGGAAGAGGCCCACTACACACTGAGTCTGCTGGGCCTTGGCCTTGGCCTTCCAGCCTCCAGAACTTGGGAAGCGCCTTTCTGTGGTCTGTCACCCACTGTCCTGAGCGGACTCACACAGGTGGGTCCCACGGTGGCTTGGAGGTCCCTAGGCGGGTGATGGTCTCCTTCAACCACGGGACATTGTTTTGTGCATCTAAGGGCGATGGTGGCTGTTTCCTTCCTGAGTTGTCAGCTACAGTTTCAGCACTGAAGCACTTTTATCTTTTCCTCTGTAGCTTCTCTGTGTTGAAGTCTGAGTGGCCATGAGGGGTAGCATGGAGTCAATGTGCACTGGGCCCCGCGATGTGCCGGTCCCTCCATTTGAACACTTGCTGCTCCCACAGAGGGAGGCAGGGTTTTCCCCATTGCCGTGACTCTGGGAGCCCAAGTCATGAGCCCCGAGCAGCATAGCCTCTGAGGGGGAGGCCGGGGCCCCAGTCTGGTCCGTGTGGCTTCAGAGCTGCTCTGATGGACATGCCCCCTCGGCCCACAGGGTGGCCCAGTCTCCGTCTGGGGGCAGCCCGGCCTCTCTGCTTCCCCCCAGCAAGGACCCTGGCTGCTGTCTCCAGCTCAGCGCCTCATTCCCCTCCGAGCTCCAGGCCGCCGGCCGTTCAGGCTGGGGCACGACCCAGAGCAGGCCCAGCCGGTCAGTGCTGCTCCTTTGGTCACTGGCTCCCTGGAGGCCTGCTCGGTCCTAGTCTTTGAGGGGAAAGAAAGTTTGTTTGTGAGTAAAACCATTTGTTCCTGGCTTTACGCATTATTACCACAGCAGTGATGTCTGTTGGGTCTGTGTGTGTGCAGTGCTAATGTCCTTTTATCCCCAACCTCCTGGAGCAGCTCAGAGGGCAGGGGGCAGACAGTGGCGGGTCCCTGGGCACGTCTGTGTCCCTGGGTCCCCATCAGAGTCACAGGGGCTGAGTCGGTGGCGGTGAAGGTGGATGGTGGGTTGAGAGGTTTAATGGAGATGGCTTTTCCTCTAAGTTCCTCTCCTCAAACCCTTGTTACCGCGTGCATTTCCGTCCCTGGCCCTTCGCTTATAAAATGCAAACGGGCCGCGTTACTTAGTGGGTCAGCCCCCAGCAGGGCCAGTTGCTGCCCTCGCTGAGCCTTCCGAGGGGCCTGAGGTGCGGGCCCTCCTGGGGGCCCTCGGCGCCTCCCGCACAGCCCCGGGCCGCCCCCAAGGAGCAGGAGGGATGTGCAGGTGGGCCTGGGGCCGGGGACCAGGATGTGGGCGCGGTGAGCACCTGCGTGTTTCCACACCATCGTTACGTCGCTGCAAGTTTAGAGAAGTTCCTTGCAAAATAAGCCACGTAAATATTGTGGAGGTCACGTTTTCCAATCCCAAACCTAGGATCTTTTTGCAAATACCGTGGATGATGTGGGCTCTTGACAGGTGCTGGTGGAGGGCACTTCGAGAAGGACCGCGGAGGGGCCGGGCCTGGGAAGCGGGTCAAGGGCCTGGAGGCTTGGGGTGCAGGCGCGGAGGGACTGGGGCGCCGGGGCTCCCGGGCTGGCCCAGGGCGGGGAGGGGTCGCCGGGCGGCGGGAGATGGGTGGGGCTCGCTGATTTCTGGGGCGAGTTCTCCCCGCTGAGCAGGTTTCAGGCCGCGGCATCCTGCCCCGACCGCTGGGGTGGGAGGAGAGGAGCGCGGCGGGTGACTCAGCCGTCAACACTGGAAACAGCGTTCACGCAGCACCGCTGTTAACCTAAGTGCGTTGCCCTTGATGATCTGGCTCCTTTGTCTGCAAGCTGGAGCCGCGTCCCAGTCTTTCGTGCACTTACTCTTGCAGGCGAGCGTCAGATTTGTTTTGTCCAGCCTGCAGGAGTGGCGCCCCTCTGGCCTTCTGTTTGGAATTACGCCGTTAGATTTATTAGGTTCTGGTTGATGTCTTTTAAAATATAGAGCCTGCCGAACTGGGAACGTTCCACCTCTTTTTAAATGATGCTCAGTTAAAGTGCATCTTTTTTACCAGCTTGTCCAGGGCCAGAGAGACCAAGGCAGATGGGGCGCCTGTAGATGAACTGAGACAACGCCCCAGAACCCCATGGACGCAGAAGCAGAGGCGGTGATCAAGCCCGGCCCCCAGGGCGAGTCCTCAGGGTTCTGTTCCCCCCGCTCCAGCCAGGCCGCCCCTACTCTGGCCCTTCAAAGCCTTCAGGTGCCTCATCTACTCACCACTGTGTGCAGACAGGCAGTGCCGGGTGTGCTGTGACTTTGACAGATTTATAAGGAACTGGCTTAAGAGTCCCCCCGGATCTTTATTCCCTGGAAAGATCTAATAGGGCCAGTGTCTAGGAATTCTGTGACTGAGTTAAGGTTTTCTACTTCCAAGCAGAGAGAAAGCTAGCAGGTCAACGTCTAGGGATCCTTTGGACGTTGCCCTTCACTGGAACTAGAAGGAGCAGGAGACCCTTGGCCCGTTTGTTTCTCTGTGTCCCAAAGTATCTGCCTCCTGGGTTTACAAGTCCTGATGACAAGGGCAGAGAGGGGTGACTTCTGACTTGGGCCAGATCCCTACACACTTCTGTAGGCGGCATGCGGCCTCGGCCACCGCCAGGGAGCAACAGGGAGCAAGTTAATAGGGGCCTGCTTTCTGCAGTGACGCCTCAGTTCGCAGGGTGCAGAGGTGACCAAGACATCACTTGTCCCAGGAGACTTAGAGTCCAGCGGAAAACGGGACTAGAGTGTTCATGACGGCGAGAGCCCCCGAAGCGGGTGAAGGCCCTGGAAGGTGCTGGTGGGCACAGCGTGAGCCGAGCTGCACTTCAGGAAGGTCACCCTGCGGCTGGTTTGGGGAAGAATATGGGGGGAGAAGGTTCACGGAGAGACCAGCTAAGAAGCTGCTGGTTAACACCCACAAAATGAGGCTGTAAACGAGGGGATGGGGTAGGGTAGGTGGTGGCTGGAGCCGACGAGACGCCCTGATGACCTGGCTGTGAGGACGGGGTGATTCCAGGGCTTCTGCGTCAAAGTGTAAGGGGACAAACCCATTTGGGAGGAAGACACTAATCTGTTCTTCTCATGAAGTAGAAGCTTAGGTCACTGATTTTCCTAATTTTCTTTTTTTTCTATCTGTATTTCAAGTTATAAAATTTCCGCCAAGGATTGCTTTAGTTCAGTCCTACAAATTTTGATACATTGTATTTTTGTTATCATTCAGTTCAAAATATTTTATAATTTCCCTTGTGATTTCTTCTCACATCTATTTAGACATGTGTTGTTTAACTTTTCATACTGGATATTTTCTAGTTAACTTTTATTATCAACTTCTAGCTTAATTTCGTACAGAGAACCTGCTCTGTATGGTTTTATTTCTGTGAAGTTTGTCTAGACTTTCATGTGGTCTATTTGGTGAGCATTCCATGTGCACTAGAAAAATACACACTCTGCAGTTGTTGGCTGACGTGTTCTATATATGTTCCACATGTGTATGTTCTGTATATATGTTCTACATATGTAGATATGTTCTATGTGTGTTCTTTACATGTGTTCTCTATGTGTTTTGTGTGTTATATATGTTCTCTCTATGTATATGTTCTATATATGTTGATTAGGCCAAGTTGGGTGATATTTTTGGTTAATGTTTTGTTCACACTTTCTGTATCAATGACTTTTTGGCAGGCTTGTTCTATCAGGCACAGAGAAGTGTGTTTAAATCTCCAGTTATGGTGATAGATGCGTCTATTTCTTCTGTTAGTTCTGTCCATTGCCTCATGTGTCTGAAGCTCTGTCCCCAGGTGCTGGCACACTTAGGACTATTACGTCTTCCTGATGAATCGACCCTTCATCACCGTGAAGGGGAAGAAGATGTGGGTGTACAGGGGATGATGTCGGATGTGCAAGTGGAAATTTGAGTTTGGATCTCAGGAAGAGACACCGAGCCATAAGGGAAGACACACCCGTCTCTGCTTTATAAGTGACCCCACCTGTGCGAGATGAGCTGGCCGTTTCCTTTCCCCAGTTTGTTTGATCGAAACATGGCTGTTGTAAACTTTATCCCTAAATACCCTTGCTAGGTGAGTAACTGGACCATGCAATTTGTGTCGCACTATTAATGGTTTGCTTGATCGAGTTAATTACTGCAGGGGTGCACGGTGGTGGGAACTGCAGCTGACCATCCCTGAGGGCTACCTCTGATGGCCTCTCAGATTATGCAGCTGTTTCCTTCCCAGGATTCTGGCCTCTTTGAAGAGCACCCAGCGGTGAGGCTTCCCACCTGTGCCTTCCATCTCAGTCTCCTCGCTGTGGTCCAGTCGCAACATCTAATCACTCTGGAATGACTGAATGTTTCTGTTGTTTCTCTTTGACATTGATATCATAAATAACATCGTGATGACTATTCTTGCACATAAATCGTGTGCACAACTGAATACTTAAATTGGAAAAATTCCTAGAAATGGAATTACTGGGCCAAATGAAATGAACATTTTAAAGTTAGAATATCTTTAAGGTTTATAGAGTAAATATGGAATAATAACATGCTATATGATATGAGTTGTACTGTATTATGATAATACTATGGTATAATAAAGCCACTAAATATAAAGTTTGTAATGTCACACCACATAATACAGCTGTAGCCTCTGAACAGTGCCATTTTTATAGGCAATTACGGCATCCAGCTTTTTATTTTACTTATGGGGAGTGTAACCTTTTCCTCATCCTTTCTGTCTTTTATAATTTTGACCATTGATTATCTGTTTCTGTTAGTCGGTTTTCTAAGTGTTGATACTTTTCTTACTTAGAAGCTCCTTGTGGGGAGATGGAGTTTCTGCCACAAGAAGAAGTCGGGACTGGCTGACACTTATTTAGCTCTTACTGGCATCAGGCTGGTTCTAGGGCATCTGCAGTGGACACAGTCTGTCCCCACAGAGGTCATGAGGCTGGGAGTGGGCTCGGGGCCCAGCCTGCCAGTCCCCCACACCCAGGCTGCAGCTCGGAGGGAGCCTCATCAGCACACAAGCACAGCGGTCCTCGTCCCGTGTGGGAGGAGCCGGAGCGCGCCCCTCACGTGCCTGTCAGGAAGTGCTCCCTACGTTGGCCCCTTGCTGGTCAGCTGGAGGGAGGTGGGCCTGGGGGAGGTCCCCGGATGACGGAGGGAGTGGGCTTGGGCACCCGTCCTATCCCGGCTCCTCTGAGAGCCAAGGGGCAGAACGGGGCTGCCGGGGGGCAAATGCCGTCCCCGCCATGATGGCCTGGACCCCTGCACCATCCGGAGGGGGCGTAGAGGGGGCCGAGGCTTGGGTGAGTCCCAGCCCATCGGGAACTTTGCTCAGATGACGTCACAGTCAGACGCCACTGGGACACCTTTCACTCTTCTGGTATATTTTGCAAACAAGCGTCCTTTCAACTTGCTCTTAAACATTATTTAGAAAACATTCTCGGAGATGCTTCCCCAGCCCCGGGTGGGCAGACGGAGACATGAGGTCACCTGCCCTCCCGCTCCTGGGGGGCGCCTGCCGCAGGGTCACCCTGCGCTTCCGAGGGATAAAGGTGCCCCCTGACCCGGGACTGAGCAGGTGCCGTGGGGAACGTCCTCCTTTCCTGGTCACCCTCTTGACGGCCCACCACGGTGCCTTCAGGATCAGTGGGGGGGCACGTGACACCTCCCAGCAGCCCTCTCGCTGACCCAGGTTCAGTTACCAGGCAGCCTCGAGTGTCGCCGGCAGGACAGGCCGGGCTTAGTCTAGCCCTCGCTGGTCTGGTGGGCAAGCTGCCCACTGGTCTCCACGGGGGCCTCATCAGTGTGGGGACAGGGCCGGGGGGCGTGAGCAGGGATGGGAGGGCCCTGGAAGCAGGCGGGGCAGGTGGAGGCGCTGGGGCATTTAGGGGAACCTGCCCCGCGTCCTCTCCTCCCCCGCTCCTGTTCTGCAGGGAAGATGGCTGAAGCCCAGGTTATTCAAGAAATTTGCCCGAAGCCACAGAGGAGGGTGACATCCTGCGTCCTGAGCCCTGGCATTTCTGGAGCAGCTGGGACATTGTAGAGGCAGGTTGGCAGAGGCCACTCACGTCATCTGATTTCAGGTCTGCCCGAAGGTGACCCCGCACAGACTCTGAAGAAGCTCAAGGCCCCCTCACTTGTCTTTCTCATTCCCTGCTGAGTTTTCACCCTGGGCGGGGCCTGGGGACCAGAGCAAGGGGCTGGGCACACAGGGGGGCTGGTGCTTTATGGATATCCCACCTGACACAGAGCCTAGGCAGCTTGCAGTGACCGGCATGCCGCGGCCCGCGGGCTGCTGAGGGCGGGGCTGCCCTGGGCCAGCTCGGCCCGTTTACACCGTGGCCTCAGCCAAAGGCGCTCCCTCCTGGGCTGTGGCCTCCCTCTGCCGTTGCAAGGCTGTCGTCAGGCCGGCGAGGCTGGGAGCCAAGGTCCGGGGGCGGCATGGGGCCACGTGGGGTGGGGGTCGGTGGCATCACCGACAGTCTGCTTTGACCCCTGCTCCAAGCGCTGCAAGGGCACGGGCCAGCAGGTGAATGCCAGGAGAGGTGGCCCCAGGATGCGCTTTCCAACTGCCCGGCTGGTGGTCACAGAGTGGACACCCAGTCATGGTTCTTGAGCACGAGCCTGGCTCCGGCCTCACAGATTTTCTCAGCAGTGGCCAGTTGGGCACAGGGTGTGGGGCTGCTGAGCCCTCACAGCCTTGCGTTCGGGCCACAGCTGTCCCCACCCGCCACCTCTCCTGTGGGCTTGAAGCCCCTCACTGCCTCTGCCCTGCACTCTGACCCTTCTTTCCCCTCCTGAGCTCTCGGCGTTGTTGTCCGCAAAGCCCTGCATGGTCTCACGGCCAGATGGACAGCCAGATGGACAAATGGAGGGATGGAGAAGGAGACACAATGCAGACCTGCTGCGGTCGAGGACCGTGAGCCACAGCGAAGTCCACGAAGGTAATTTAAGTAACTTGGGTCCCTCTCTACTTTCTTTTTTTTTTTTTTTGCCGTATGTGGGCCTCTCACTGTTGTGGCCTCTCCCGTTGTGGAGCACAGGCTCCGGACATGCAGGTTCAGCGGCCATGGCTCATGGGCCCAGTCGCTCCGCGGCATGTGGGATCTTCCCGGACCGGGGCACGAACCCGCATCCCCTGCATCGGCAGGTGGACTCTCAGCCACTGCGCCACCAGGGAAGCCCCCTCTCTACCTTCTGTACCAGTGGGCGCCTGGTGCCTTCGGTAACTCCCGAGCTCCCTTTCCCTGCACCCCTGTTCTGCGCACGGACGTGCTATCTGCAGCGCTGCTCTGTTAAGTTGCCCATCGCCCCCCCAAGAGTAAACGCTCTCCGCCCCCCTCCTCTTCCTTCAGCTTCTCCATCCCCCAGCCTTAAGCCTGTCTGACAAGGAGGGACTCTCTTCGGTTGTGGGTGGGGAGGGAAGACAGCCAAAACCCTTTCCAAAGGCCCCGGGGAGGCGGCCGGGGCTGCTTCCAGAAACGCCTAGTCCAGCATTCATGAGTGTGTTTCATGCGCGCACAGAGACTGGGACTAAACTTACAGAGCTGGGGCTCCTACAGAGCCCAGAACAGATGGTACGTGGGTTTTCACAGCAGGCTGAGAGGTCTGGGAGAACACATGTGCCCATGCATGTGAAAGTCTGCAGTGATGAGTCACCTTATGACGGGTTTTAGTATATTGTGTGCCTTTAAATCTGAATGAATTGTAATTACTTTTGTGATGACTTGAAAATCACCAATTTTGCATATTCTAGATTCATGATTATAATGATTAAAACCAGGAGAGCTTGTGTTTTTCAGGTGTATTGAGTTCACTTGCTGCTGCTTATACTTTGCTATCTATAGCATTCAGCATATAAGGATTTGTAAAGCCCTAAATCTCCAAAAGAGAAATTGGTGCTACTTGGCCTCATTATTTTGTAATTATATTCCAATAGTTTATTTCCCCCTGTTGGTCCTTCAGTGTCAGGGGTTGAATATAATGAATATAAGTAGCTTTAACCAAGATCCCAGTGACAGCTCTGGGGTCATTGTTGGCGCTGAGGCCTGCTATCCAGGGCTCAGTCCGGGACGCCCCTGGGCAGGGGGAGGTGGGACTGCTGTCACGAGTGGGGGCCCCCACCGCCTGTGCCTGCTCCACTTTCCTCATTAAACCTTTAGAGAAGATAATGGAAGTGACAGGCCCTTTTCTCTCCATCTTGCAAAGAACACTCTTCAGTATAAACGATGCCCTAAATCCTTTGTGACGTCCCCAAGCTAAGCAGGTCCCCAACCTCTTACAGGGCCCGGTGGTCGGCGATGCAAACAGGTGACGATGACACGCCGCCCACGACCTCTGCGGAGTCCTGTCCCCATTTCCACGAATAAGGAAGTTAATCTGTAAACTTTCAGCAGGACCTGCATCCAGGTGGGGCAGCTGACTGGAGAAGCAGGGGCCTGGCTACCTGACGTCTACGTCCGTGGGTCAGGCTGAGGCTCAGAATTAAAGAGAAAGCTCTCTGTAAAGAAGAGACGCTCGCTGTCTCCAAGACTAAAGACAGCAGATTGGGGCGAAGAGAGATGGGAACCCCAGTGATGCTGGTGTCTACCGCAGCTTGGTGAGAGCGGCGCTGAGGCCACCTCTTCCAGGGCCGTACCCGCCCAGAGCCAAAAGCGCAGGCCCGGAACCCATTCCCACTTCCGGGACGTTGTTCTGTGGCGATGCTCCAGCACATGCAGAAGCGCTCAAACATTCATCAACGGGGGTGTGGGATAAACCAAGCGCGTCCGTGCCGTGGCACATCACGCAGCTGCTACAAGGAAAGCACATCTGTGTGCAGACAGGCAAGACCCACACGGCCCGTCTTAACTAAAAAAGCAGAAACTTCTACACAATATGACCTACTTTCCACGAAGAAAAAGAAGAAAGCGCGGGAGGGAGGGAGGGAGAGGTTTGCGTAGACGTAGAGGAAACTATTGGGAACAAGACGATTCACTCTGGATGTTTACTTCTCAAGCAGTAAGAGCCAGATGGAGGGCGAAATTCAGAGCTTTTTCACCTTCTGGGTAATATCTGCCTATAATATCTGAGGTTTGGTAACTCCTCTGTATAATTTCTCTAACCTGAAAACCTGATAAAAAGCACCATTGAAAAAACGCCATTCTTGCTAAGAAAGGAAGGTGCTTGTTGCCCGTCCCGACATCACCTATTCACTTCCCTTCCTTGCGAATGCAACGCATTCCTACCTTAAGCAAATTCTCATGAAGCTCTTTCCACCAGTGGACAGCTGACAATGTACCTGGCACCTGGGGCTCTCAGAAACTCACAGGAGGCTGGTCCGTCTGCTCATTTCTAAGTCAGCTTTTGGAGAACTTGACCTTTAGCAGTGTGCGGTATTCCTCTTGGAATGAAGCAGTTTGGTTGAACATGGAGCTTACTAGAAATAGATTTTATCTGTCTGTAGCACAAATGCAGTCAGGGGTTAGCTCCCAGAAGGCACACACACATACGTGCACATATGCAGGCACGCATGTGCTCAGCCCTGGCCCTAGTTAGCAGGTTCTCAGGTTCTGTGGAGCTGTGGGGTGGGTGTGTTGGGAGCCGCAGGTGCCCCCCCGACCCTTGCAGGGCTGCCGGGCGCCCCGCGCATCACCCCCACCGCTGACCGGATGCTGCAAGGAGCACGTCCAGGCAGGCGGCGTAAGTGCCCTGGGGAAGGTGGCTGCGTGCAAAAGCCGCGAGCTGCCACGTGCCCCGCTTCCCACCGCGCGCCGTCCAGGCTCCGCTTTAGACACGGGAAGATCTCCTCCGAATGGCCTCAGTTTGAGATCCTGGGGCCTCGGCATTTGCTGGCCAGGGTCACCCAGCGAACAGACACGAAATGGGTTTTACTCAAGCGTCACACTTGGCGGCTTGAGGACATTCCACACGCGTTTACAACATTTTATTTGGTCACCCCCTCCTCTGCTAACAGTGAGTGATATTCACTCTCCCCTCTGCTGTCAGTCAGGCCAGGCCTCCCCGTTCCAGGCCCGCGGCCTTGGCTCCCGGCAGCTGACGGACGTCCAGGTGCACATCTGACTCCCACGCTCCACCAACGGCCCCGGGCACCCTGGGAGCTGGCTCTTCAGTTGGTCGTGCAGATCTGGTCGCAGCAAATCGTCTGAGCTGGGGAGCCGGGTTGCCGGGGGCTCCGGGTGGACGCTGCCACTCTTTGACCAGGCTCCTCTCACAGGGGGCTTGGGTGCACACCCCAGAGGGACGCTGCAGGGCGACGGCCTCGCGGCGCCCCCCACCCCCGCCCCCGGACGTCCAGCCACCACCCCCGCCCAGCCTGGCCCTGCCTGCCAGGCCCCGCCCCCTGGAGCCAGTCATCCCGATGGCTGGCACTTGCGCTCAGGTCTGTGATGCCTCAGAACGAAGACTCTGTGGCCTCATTGTTAAAGGGGACCAGTATCATAAAGGGGTTGGAGAACCGAGTGCAGCGGCACAGAAAGAAGAGCCTGGATGGCGGTGTGAGCATGACTGTGCCAGGCTGGGCCCACCTGGGCTTGCGGGAGGGTTCCACGGAAGCCCTCAGCGGGCGCCTGTGTGTCCTGCACACAAGGGGCTGCCCTGTGGGACCTGGGGGCTGAGGCCGGCGATGTAGGTCATGCAGAGGAAGGGTGACCACGTCACTCAGGGCCAGCATCCCAGCCCAGGCCTGTGCCCCCTGAGAACAGGCACTGAGATCAGAAAATCCCCCTTTTTCTTCCACAGTCGCTGGACCCAAGTCCTGGGCTACTGCCACCTTGATCTTTCCTGGTCTCTTTGAAAATGGGTCTGTCTGCACGGCCAAACAACATAAAGCACAAAACTACCGAAATGCTGGAGTGTAACAATCGTTAGGTTTAAACCCCGGGCGGTTACAAGGTAAGCCGGTTCCACGGCGGGGATACGCCAAGCCCGCTCCAGTGGGTCCGAGCCGATTCACCCCAGGCACCCCTGGCTGGGGGCTCGGGCTGCGGTGTGGAGGCACCTCTAGATGACCGAGGTCTCTGTCTGCAGGAAGGACAGGGCGCGGGAGCCGCGGGGGACCTGCAGGGTGCCCTCCGAGCCGTTCCTCGAGCCGGACAAGCTGTGCAGCCTGCAGTCCCGGCCGGAGGGCCGGCTGGGGCACAGAGTCGGCCGCCACATCCTCCCCAGCTCTCTCTGCACCTGGGGCGGGGGCGAGAGCAGGCGGGGCTCAGGCGGTGGGCAAGCTGGAACCGAGACCCCAGCTTCCCCCTAGGGCGAATGCCCGTGGATGAACGCTTCCCCTTCGGCCCTTTTCTGGGTGTGGAGGGTGTGATATCCATGGACGCGGGGCGGGGACAGACGGGCCTGGGAATGAAGAAGCGGAGAAGGATGCGGGACCAGACGAGGGACCAAGAGAAAGGAGGTCAGACTACGGAGCCCAAGGCTTCAATCCAGAGGCAGCGGCCGCTACACCCAGAGCCCGAGAGGGCTAATTCGCCTTTTCAGAAAAGACCTCCTGTGGAAGCCGGGGCCCCAGCGCTTTGCCCTACAGTCCTGGTTCTGCTCCCTGGCTCCCGGGGGCGGGGGTGTCAGGGGGGTCCGGAAAGAACGAGGGGAGGGAGGTGCAGGAGTCGCTCAGACGACACGGGACAGGGAGGCACGGAGCACGCAGCAGACGCCGGCTCGGCCGGGGGAGCGGAGAGGTCTGGACACAGCCGGGGTGGGGCCCGGACGGGGGACCTGGGACGCCCCGGCGCAGGGGGCGGGGCCGGCTGGGAGCCAGGCGTCCCCTGCCCGCCTCCCCGCCGCCCGCGGTCCAGAGCCGGGGTTCTGGGCGCGGAGGGGTCTCCAGGCTGACCCTCCCCTATCTGAGGACTCTGCGCGGAGGTGCTGCTTAGGGATGGGAAACGTTTACAGAGCAGAGCCGGTGCTTTTCCTCGGTCTGGAGTTTCCTGCTACTGCCGCCGCCGATGCTCGCTGGCGCTCCCGCTTGGCAGCCCCGAAAGAAGCGAGGAAAGCGATGGAGGGAGGGGACCCTGAGGACCGCGCGGGGTGACAAGGAAGACGCGCGAGGCGCCGAGCGAGCCGCTGGAGACGCAGCCGCCGCCCAGGTGAGGCGAGGTTATATGCGGGGCGCGGCAGAAGCAAAGCGGCGGGCGGGCGGGGCGCGGCCGCCGGGGGTGTGGGCTGGCTGGGGGGGCGGGGCTGTCCGGGGGGCGCGGCCGCCTGGGGGCGGGGCTGTCCGGGGGCGGGGCTGTCCGGGCGCTCGCCTGCGGACAGGCTCTGGGACGCTGCGGGTCGGCGGGGGCGGTCGAGGTGTGCGGGAAGACGGAGCCGAGCGCCGCGGGCGCCGGGCAACGGCACTGACCCCACAGCAGGGCGGGCCCTCCGCAGGGGTTTCAGGGGCGTTTCAGGGACTCCCTCACAAGCCGAGAACCTGTGCTTCCCGAGGAGGTCAAAGGACTTACTTCACTGTTCAGAAAGCAGTAGAGGACCGCCACCACCAGGCCCTGCAAGCAAGCGAGAAGGGCGGTGGGTCAGAGCTCACTCACACCCTCCCCTCCCCGGGATGCCCAGCCCCTTGCCACGCACCTGGAAGGATCCGATGCACAGTTCGAAGAGTATCTGGTACTTGGAGGAGATGCCGATGGGAAACACGGCGAACAGCATGTAGTGGACTCCGAAGAGAGGGATGAGCAGCAGGGTGGACTTGGTGAGCCTCCTGCACCACAGGGGGGCCCGAGCTCCCGAGGTGACCCGACGGCCGCCTGCTGGCCGGCCCAGGGGCCCCCTAGCTTTGACACCACCCCACCCCGTATGGACTGAGTGTGCAAACGCGATGATGGCCACCACTTGGCCTCGTAAAGCAGCAAAGCTCTTCCAAGAAATCCTGACGAGTTTGCCAAGGATGACATTGCTCTGAGCGGGTCTGACGGCCCCGTGTGCCACTGGCTTTAATAGCCGAGACCACCCCCAGCCTTTGGAGGATGGGGGCAAGTTTTACTTTCAGATCAAAAGCAGGGGTGGCCCCCTGCGCACAAGCGGGACAGAAAGTGTTCCCGCAGACGGCTGTTGACGGGTCCTGGCAGGCGGCCCTGCCCTGGATCGCACAGAGTCCGAGGAATCAGGGAACCGGGACCGGATCTAATTTCTCTGCCTGTCAAAGAGCTCTTACCCTCCCTAATCAAAGAGCAGATTTTCTTCTCACTGCATTTGTGTTGAAAATAAAATACCTGACCTCAATCCTCCCCCACCCCCCGCCTTCGAAGCCCCTCCCGCTCCCCGAGCAGGTACAGGACACATTAAGTCAGGGCTTCTCAGCCCTACCTGCACCAGAACCACCTGGAGGTCGTGTTAAAACGCAGACCTGAGAATTCTTCTACCAGGTGCCCAGAGATGCCGAGGCTGCTGTCGGGACCCCACTTTGAGGACCACTTCTATAAGCCACTTCTGACTCTCACGGCTGCACATGAGAATCATCTGGGGGCTTTTCAACCTCTTCAAGTCCAGGCTGCCCCTCATCCAGTTAAATCAGGTCTCTGCAGGTGGCCCAGCACCTTCCCAGGTGACTCAACCTGGCCACATTTGGTGTAGCAAGCCCAGCACGTTCTAAGGATCAGGAGCTTTGGGACCACCGCGGGGCTGGTCAGGAATGCAGGGGCCTGGGCCCCCAGGTGGTACGTGTGCATGTCCAGGCCCCTGGGTGACCCCAGAACCAGCAGCCGCTCCAACAACCCGCCTCATCCTGGCAACTCTGAGCGGTGGGAACTGAGGCGGGAGGCACCTCCGTGCTCCTCCCGCGTCTCCTCTGCTTGGTGGACCCCAGCCCACACTCGGAAAAAAGTCACCCTTTGCTTTACATATTTTTGAGGCACTGTGGCACTTACAACAAGATTTCCTCTGTACTGGGCAATCTGCACAAACTCTGAATCCCAGCCGCTCTGCACCAGATGTGAGCATGCCCTGGGCCTTGGTGGGCAGGGAAGGCCTCACTGCCCACCCAGCTGCCACCACGTGCAGCTTTGAACCTTTGACTTTGCAACACCCACGGTGCACTTGCTGCCTTCACTACCTCGGGTCTCTGCCAGCCCAGTGAGTGAAGGCTGGGATTCTGCAGGGAGCTGCCCTTTAGTTAAATGTTGGAGAGAACCTGCCTGGATTCTCACTATTGATCCATCTGGAATTTGCTGTTGTGCTAGTTTCTAGAAAAGGGATTTAGAAGCTGGACCCCTGGGGCCCTGTGCCTGGAGATCTGCCACTACTGTTACGAGACAGATACACAGAAAAGATGTGCTCTGCCTTTTTGTTATCCTGGAAAAAGAACAGATTCTATCATCCCCACTTTATTTTGTTTCCAAAATAAAAGCATCCATCTCTAAGATCCGCTTAGGAACGCTCCCAAAGAGCCCAGAGGAAAGGTCAGCGTGGCCCTGAATAAGACGTGCAGAAACTGGAAGTTCGGTTTGAAGGGCAGCCTGAGCTGCAGGCATGGGGTGAGTCCAGGAACCAGCCCGGCTTCTCACCTGAGCAGTAAAAATGCTACTTGGGAGGTCTGGCTGAAACCACTTTATCCTTTGTGGTCTGACGTGGAATCCTATCTCTAGGCCTGACCTCTGATGTGGGCTGGGCAGAGACTGTCACACCTCAGGGCACAGTTATATGTATATGTTTACCAAACTCTATCGCAACACTTTGCTGGTGCCAGCCACTAAATGTCTTTTGAATATTAACTCTATCAGTCCTTATAACCTTGTGACAAGTATTATTATTATTTCCACTTCACAGGTGAGGAAACCGAGGCAGAGCAGTGCAGTTACCTCCCCCAGGCCTCCAGCTGGTACATAACCCAGCACTGGGCTGCTGACCACAGGGGATGCCACCTGTCTCCCCAGGTCCACCCTGCTGTCTAAAGGAGGGGAGGGAAGGAGACAGCTGAGGGGGGGCCCACCCTGCAGGGGCAGTCAGGTAACCCACCCAGGGTCACGCAGCTTCTGCAGCTGCAATTCCAACCCCAATCTGCCTGTATCCAAGGCTCCTATCAGCTGGACCAACCACTCCACACTAAACTGGCTTTATTTTATACTCGAGTTGTGGGCTTTATCTTTTCTTTATAAATTCTTGATAGAAATTTATATGAGCCTCAAGTTCCTTTACGGAGTTCTCAGACCCTTATTAATCAGCTGGATGATGGGGAGTGATTTACTTAACTTCTCTTCCCCACGAGGGAGATGATGACAGCCATGTTCGTGTTGTCATCCAGGCAACAAACTTCACTTGAGTTATTATTAAGTACAGGGCGCGACATGAGGTGTCCCCTGGACCCTGTGGTCTGATGGGGAAGAAAGAACTAAATATAAAATACAAACAACGTGTGGCCAAGGAGAGAAAAGTCAGATTACAGAACAGGAGAGCGGGCAGAACACTTCAATAAGCTGCTCTCTAGAGGACATCCACGCTGGAATGAAGGAGAGGAACACGGCTTGAAAAATTGCCATGGCAACGCTGGCCTTTGGACAAGACAGTCCATCTCCGGGGGTCCCTGTAAAGTGGCAAAGAGCACACTCCTGCGACTAAAGGAGAAAAGCTGGGGTCACTTGCAGGGTCCTCGCACCCCAGTTTTGCTGCTCTCCACACATATACTCAGAGTTTCCAGGCTGCCTGAGGTTGGTGAGGGTGGCTCAGAGCTGGAGCTAAACAAATACTCACTTGTACTGTGACTGGTCATTGCCGCCGACATCTGGGGATGTCAACTTCTGCAGTAAAATTCGTATAATACTAACAAAAAGGATGAAATTGACCTGCACGAAAAAGAGACGACACGTTTGTGTGTGAAGTCCCCCTGCAAGGGAGGTGGTGTGGCCGGGATGTGTGTGCCTCTGCTGTTTCAGAAGCACCAGGGCCCTGCCCCTAGTTCTGCTCTTCCCTGCCCCACCCCCTGAGTCAGAGCCAGACAGTGTCTCTCTGCTGCATCACATACGTTCCGACCCCAGGGCACGGCAGCTGAGTTGAGAAAATTAATTTTGAGACGTGAAATCCGCAGGTGGAAATCCAGTTCTGCTCTAAGGCTGCACACCTGGGGGACCTGACTCTGACCCCCACCCCACCCCGAGGTTCCCCTGGAGGACTGTCTCTTTCTCGCCCTCCGCTTCACTGAGAATTCGTCCTGAAGGTGGGCCAAGCCCACCATGCAAGAGCTCAGCCTCAGGGTACTTGTCTCAGAAGACCTAGTAGAACGGGCCCCTTATAGTTACTACCAGACAGTGGGCTCGCTCTCTGCCCAAGTGTGCAACCCGGCAGGCAACTCACGTTTCAATACAGAAATGACTTACTATAATAGAAATTAAAATTGGTGTTCGTATAACCCACCAGGGAACACTGTGGTCATTGGTATCCCAGCAACTGTTGAAAAGAGAGAAGGAAAATCACGTTACCACCAATTCCATCTACAAACCAAGCACAGGAGGATAAGCACGCTGCAGACTCACCCTTTCCCCGGGGGCTTGAACACTTTCCCCGGGGGCTTGCGAAACAAAGCACCCCGACCGTGAGCCCTCTCACTCACGCGGCTCCTTAGGGGGTCCCTCCTGACTGCCACGCGCTCTCTCCAGCAGGAAGCTGGGGTGGGCAGCTTGTAAAATGCCTCCAGCTCACTCCGTCACCCACACCCCTTCCCAGCAGGGGCAGAGACCCACCCTCGTCCTGGGTCCTAGCTGGTTGACAGCAGGATGTGGAGTCCTTGGAACCCAGCGTACGCTGCCTAGACCCACGGCCCTGGCTGCCCCTGCAGGTGCCTGTGGCGTGTGAGTGAGCCAGGCTGAGGCCAGGAGAACCGCCCCAAGTTCCAGGGACAGAAACACACCAAATCAACTGGGACTATGTGAGCTCCCAGCTTTGGGTGGTTTGTTACTGGTCGTGGACAACTGGTAGACCCTGGGTCCCGCATGAGGCACAGCGCCGCTGGTGGGAGCTCTTGGTGCTTGGGTCTGGGCCACGGTCTGGCTCACTGTGCACACGAGGCAGAAGTGCTCTGGGCCCTGGTCCAACCGCGCTACCTCGGAGAGCTGCGCCCCAGCTGGCCTCTCAACCCGGCCTCCTCGCTGGGCTGGCTGCTCCGTCTCTGCCTGGTTGACCCCAACCTCAGCTCCGCTGCCAGGCCCAGCTCAGCCCCACCTGTCCCTGGGCTCTTCTCCAAGCACTCCAACCCGTATTCCTCCCCGTGCAGTTCAACGTCCTCCCCATCCGTGTCCAAAGGCTGCCTTTGACCAGATACGAAGCTTCTCTCTGGTTTCCCAAGACCAGTGATGCCAGGACCTCAGTGCTGCTTGACCTCTCTTTACAGGCATGGCACTCACCCTGTGTCTTCTAGTGAAAGCCTGGCCGCAGTCCACGCACCTGTGCAGACGGTGGGGATGCCTGCAGAAAGACACCTGGTGACCACAACCCCATGCTGGTTACTTGCACCAGCCCAGCAGGGGCACACGTGGGAGCTTTCATTAGCCTGATGGTCAGGGACAAGGGCCTTCCGATGAAAAGATCAAGTGGAAGCTCTTCATAAATACATACAGGCTTATGCTCATGCCTTACTAAGCAGTGAAGATAACTGAGTATGTGTCTGAAGGCTTCACAGTCCTGAAACACATCTCTGTGTTTCTGGGTGTCAGTGTCAACGTGCTGGGGAGGCTGTGTTCAGACTTGGCAAAGACCTGCAGGGGAGTCCCTCGCTGTGAAGGTGGGGGTCCCGCAGCTGACGCACAGCCCTGCTGATGGGCACGTTAGTGGGACCTCGTGATGGATGGCCTCCCTGCTTCTCCTCCTCCCAGGCCCCTTCCTTCTGACTTGCCCACCATCAGGGTTTGCCCCAGGAATGAGAGTCAGAGCAGTTTTAAATCAGGTCCTGGCTCCCAGAAATACTAAGCTGTTGGCTCTAGAAAAGCTCTTCCTACAGGGGCGGCACAGCATTTTTCTGAGCTGAAAGCACCTGCATTTATAGGTCAGAGAGGACAGCAATCAGGAACCTGGGGGGTTTGGGGGTGGCAGTGGGCTGTCGGGGGGAGTCCTTACCCCATCCAATCAGGAGATAGGCCACAAAGCGCCGGCTGGGGGAGAAGATGGCCACCAGGAGGGTGTGGAGGTACAGCCCCTCCACCAGAAGCCAGTAGAAGTTGGCCATGATGCAATACTGGAAGAAGACCAGGCTCAGCTTGCAGCCCACCTGGATGCCACAGACAGAGTGAGAGAGCACACTGCGTTTGGATGAGGACTTTCGGGGCGGGCAGCCGGCTCCAGGTCCCAACGCGAGCCCGTGCTGCACGAGGCACGTGGCCACCCAACACAGAGGTGCCGCCTGGAGGTGTGTGCCTGTTCAGGTGAGGCCCTGGAACTCGCTGGAGGGTAGCATGGGGCCCAGGCAGATGCACAGTGTCCCTGAGGGTGACATGTAACTTTGAGAGTGACCATGTGGGGCCTGGCACGCTTGGCTGACCTCCCTCTCCTTCCTCCTGACCCCCCTCCTCCCTGCATCCTCCTCTCTTCCCTGCATCCCCCCTCCTCCCTGCATCCCCGTCTCCTCCCTGCATCCTCATCCACCCTGCATCCCCCTCTCCTCCTGCATCCTCCTCTCCTCCCTGCATCCCCCTCCTCCCTGCATCCCCGTCTCCTCCCTGCATCCTCATCCACCCTGCATCCCCCTCTCCTCCTGCATCCCCCTCCTCCCTGCATCCCCCTCTCCTCCCTGCATCCCCTCTCCTCGCTGCATCCTTACCCTCCACTCACTTCCACTTTTTCTCCTCTGTTCTTCCTCACTGTGCACTCTTAACAAGAGATGGAAAAATAAAGGAATAAACAAGAAACCCACCAAATACATTATTTCCCCAGGAGTTTTGAAAGGGAAAAATTATGTATTACATAAAGTAAATGCATTTTTAATCTCTCAGACCTTCATATAAGTAAACATATCAGGTATTTCCACGTCATGAGCAAACATGAAATTGAGGCTTTCAATCACTAAGCTTATATAAGTGAGCTGAAAACAAGAACAGTACTTTCACTTCTATCCTTCTTCTGTATCTTTGCAGCCGCCTCCCCTAATATGTGTACGTGGATGATGGGTGGATGTACTTCCATATATGTGGACACACTCATACACGTGTATGGGGTGGACAGAGTTGCAGGCAATGCACGGCAGCCTCTCAGCTGGCTCCCCGGGGTCATGAGGCGCTTGGACTCACAGCGGCTCCATCCTCTCCAGGACGCTCCAGCCCCTGACCTCGCACCAGGTCTCTCTTGCCTAAGTGGAGTGTGGTTCCGTCTCTTTCTAAGGTGGTTACGGTTTACTGATGCTGAGGGCGGGGAGGGGGTCTGCATGTGGAGGCGGCCCACTGGACATCGGGGCTGGGCCGCCGTAAGTGGAAAGACGCACGTGACAACACTGCTGTGGAGACAGGAGAAGCGACCCAAGACCTCGTTGGGACAGTGACAGAGGCGCGTGCTGGGTGTCGAGGAGGGAAGAGCTCCACACCCACGGGTGGAGGGAACCTGTGGTGAGCCCTGCTGGCCGGCACAGAGGGCACGTCCTGCACACGCAGCATCCGTAGCACCAGTGGCATCTCTGCCTTTGGAAAGCTGTCTAGCACTATCTGTCGCAGTGTAAACACATGTGCCCTTTGGTCCCTCCAGTCTCTCTCCAGACCCACCTGACCGAGGTGAGAGCACTGGTGCATGAAGATACACGTACACTGACGCTTGTGGGGACAGAAGATACAAAAACAGGGTGTCGTGCAGATTACGTCACACCTGCACGGTAGATTCAAAGCAGACCCTGAGACACCGCTAGACTCAGAGGATTTCCAGGATATCCTGTTGGAGGAGGAAAGAGGACACAGCGTGTTTAAGATGATTCCAATTCCATTTTCTTGATAAAATGTTTAAAACGCCATGTCTGCATTTCTTTCCTGTTGCTCATCCACCATCAACACACTCTGAGGACAGGAGGTTTTGGGGGTTGACGGGCTGTCGGCTGACCTCGTCTTCTTTGGCGTGGAGAGGCCAACGGCCATGCGGCCGGGACAGCGCCCCACACAGACCCCAGCAGGGTCTCAGCCAGCCCCGTCCCCTGTCTCAGAGCCTCCGTCACTGCACACGGCCAGATGTCCAGGGGGCCGATCTCCACTGTCCGTGGGGGTCCTGACGGTCGGCTTCAGGTGGCCCTCTGGGCGCTCATTTTCTCTAGACTGGAGCACGGTTTCCACAGGTTTAGATCAAACCCAGACCAACAAGTGCAGAGAACGAGGCGCCCACACATGTGCGGGCTGGCCTAGGTGGGGACGGAGGCAGGGGTTCTGTCCCCTGGCCCATGTTTTGATCCAATAAAGACACTGGCTTCTTTGAGGCCCAACTCCTTGAAAAGGACGAGAAAACAGCACCTACCACGAGGGTTGTCAAAGGCAAAATCAGGTGTCACAGCTGGAGATACGTGTCCTCTCAGGCTCTACGGGGCCAGACGGCATTTCCCTAGAGTGCTGGGAAGACTTACAGCATCTGCAGGTGCTGGCTAAGAGCAAGTCAACAGGATATTTTGTTTAAACATGTGAAGATGACAGCTGCAGGGCTGGGGATATGGGCCTTGGTGCCTCTGTGGGTCTCATGCCTGGAGCCCTCAGTGCGCAGTGAGTGGCAGAGGCGATGGCGTGGTGATGTCCACGTGTGCAGTTTCACTCGTCCTGTGTCCACAGCTGCTCCACACTCGAGGACATGGGCTCCCCCAGCACCATGCAAAGCCCCTTCCTTTGGAGCCGTCTTTCCAGGGACGGAGCCAAACTCGTGATGGGACAGAGTCTGAAGGGTGTGTGTGTGCCTGGGTCTGTGCGCCTGTGTCTCTGTGTGAGCGTACGCATGCCTGTGCGTTTCTGCGTGCCTGTGCACCTCTGTGTGCATGTGTTCTGCGTGTGTGTGCACTTGTGCACCTGTGAGTGTTGATGGGCTCTTCTCACTTCCCCTTCTCCTGCCCCCTCTGCCATTCTGGCCTGGGCTGTGGGCCTACGTGGCAGCTCAGTGGGCCCAGGACCCTCTGCAATGTGCAGACCCCCAGCCCAGCCTCCAGCCCTTGTCTCTGGCTCTCCGCCTCCCCCCGACCCACCCGGGACAGCAAGCAGCTGGTCAGCATTCAGCTTTGGGCCGGGTGCATCCCTGTTCAGATGCGTCAGCCTCACTGCAGAGCCCAGGGCCTCCTAGCTTACCCCTAGGCAGGTGGGACTCAGGGCAGGGACACCCAGGTCCCCGTTGCTGCCCGTCCCTCAGCCAGATCCTCCGTCTACACAGCAGGAGAAAGTTGAGAGCACCGCTCCAGGGCCTGCTGTCTGTGGGCCCGTCAGGGTCACTACGTCCTTTAATGAAGAGCTAAGTACGGAGCGCTGCTTCGAGCAGAGCTTTGAGACACAGAGACGGGACCGAAGGCTCCTCAGCGGGAGGACAGCCAGGCACCCCTGCTCCAGGCCTGCGGGTGCACCCCCAGCTGTGCAGCGGAGGCTCGATCTAGGGAAGAGAGCCCAGGGACCGCACTTCCACCTGCGGCTGGGACTTGCCAGGTGGAGGATCTTGTTGCTAATTTCTTTATTATATTCAGTCCACATGCCTCCTGGTCAAGATTATCCCAGGAGTATATCGATATTTATTGCACCTGAAGACCTAAGAAGCAGCTGAAGTTCTTCGGTGTGATAAAGGCTTTACTATGTTAAAACGACATTGACTCAAATCTGCTCAGTCCAGAGCAAGGGTGCCAGCACATGAATCCATCCGCTTGGGAGGCGGGTGGAGAACAGCATTCCGGCTAGTGTGGAAGAGCTGTGACCAGGACTAGGGTGCCGTGTAGAACCCAGGTGGAGGGTGCGACTGGGTGTCGGAAGACTGGGTAGAAGGACTTGATCTCAGAGGAGCTCAATATAAACGCACTAAACTCAACTATGCCTTAAAGGCCCACTGATGTCCACCACAAGCCAAGCCTGCACTGCAGAAACTAACAGTTAAGGTGATTCATCCTCTTGCAAAGAGCTGAGCCCGCGGGTCACGGGCGCGCACTGCGCTCCCAGCAGGTGCTGCGGGGACGCACTCACCGCGCAGGTGATTTCCACCCAGCAGTCAGGGGAAGCATCTACTGCTCAGAATCCCGGACGTGTGCGGAGAAAACGGCGTCGTGCGTGCCCACCCGTGCCAGGAACATCCGGCTCGAGCTGCCGCTGGTGCTTCGGGGCAGCGGCCTCTTGGGAGGCCGGCTCTGCCTGGGGTCAGCACTCCGGCCGTGACCTCCCACCGGGCAGTGCCCACGTGCCCACCTTGTGTCTCTGGCCACCGTGGGCCTGCTCCGAGCTCAGGCCCGCTCCCGCGCCCTGACGGGGACCACCGGCTCTGGGACTTCTTCCCGATGCCAAGTGGGGTTGGAGTAAAGGGATGGGCGGTGGGGAGGGAGTTCGGTGGAGCTGGAGTTCACACAGGCACCTGCCCCCCATGAGAGGACCCCGCCCACAGGGACAGCCTTACCCAGGAGGACGGCTGGTCGGGGCAGTGCAGAGTCCCTGAGCTGGAGTACAGAACGTCGTCCTTGACCAACACCGAGATGGCCCGCAGGATGAAGGAGAGGAACAGGTTCAGGTGGATGTAGTTCCTGGTGCAATGCAGCTTCCTGCGGAGGGGGGAGGCGGTGGTGGGAGGGGAGAGGGGAGTAGAATGGCGGGGAGAGGGTGATGGGGGAGAGGGGGAGGCATGGATGGGGACAGAAGGGAATTGGAGGGGAATTGGAGGGGGATGGGAAGGGGGAGGAAATAGATAATCAAACACTGATTTGGGGCACACTTTCATAGTTGCCTGTGTGGCTTTAATCTTAAGGCTTCTTTTTTATGGAAGTTAATCATTTATTTAACTATTCCTTATTGTATATTTAAGATGTTTACAGCTTTGCATTATGATAAATATTTTTGTGCATAAACCTTTTCCCTTATTTCTGACTTGGCGCCTTAGATCAG